TGTGGGGTGGGTGGGGGGGTGGGGGGGGATGGTGTCTGTTTATTTTCACTTGTATTTTTGAACGGAGAATTTTTACCAATTATTTCTTTGCTGCTAGACTGCATTGGACATAATACTTAAGTTGTACCTTTTAAACATTAAGCTAACTTCAATATTCACCAGTCTATTTCAGAAATCCAGAGAAGAAATAGTACAAAGCCTCACCCTGCCAGCTACATAATTTTCCATATTCTCATTTTGTATCTCATGTAATGAGCACTTTTGCTGTAGACAGATTAAAAATAGGCCAATGAATAGTAAGTAGCATGTCATGCAAGCAAAGGTTTATGCTTCTTTCTGCATGAATGATTTCATGTAGGTCTGCAAGCACTAGTCCCTTAAACTATAATTGTTCAACCTTTGAATTACCATAAAATATAGAATGTTTTTGGTTTTTGAAGTGCTTTAAGAGAATCAGTATATCTATGAACATCAAACAAATGTTTAGAACTCTAGTGTGAATTTGAGTTTAATCATTTATTAACAAATTTGATCCAGAAATCCCATAGGGCCATCACAACAGAAAAGTGTGGCTTGTCCAGTCCCAATTAGTACCTTTGAAGCAGTGGATTTACTGTGTCCCAATATTCCTGGAAGAGCAGGAACAAATTGGTAGGTAGAGAGAGGTAACTACAAAGCGCTTTGAATTGCCCTTCTTCAGAAACTGCAAAAGAAAAAGAAAACATGAGCAAGTGTTCAAGTGTTCCAGTGCTGCCGAATAATTAACTCAAAATTAGAAATCTCCTGATCCCTTTTCCATTGAATAATATGTATCTGACAGCTTTAGTATAGCTCCTAGCTAGTACAATTGGCTATAATTCCACTGACTTAATAACAGCTATAATAATTTGCATCAGCCGAGGATCTGCTTTAGGTTTAACAAATTTGATATATATTATCAAGTAATTTTTAAGTCATGCATAGGTCACTGTAATAATACAATTCCTTGCTTAAATTATTGCATAATATGTAACACATGTTAGTGCAGCAGATTTTTGTACTTACCACATTTTAGCTTTTCACTGTCCTTTTGGCCTGCAATGATGCTAAATCTTGCTATGATCAAGTCAGTGCTAACACATTGTATAAAGTTGAGCTAATTTAATAGTTTGCTGGGTGGTCATTCATTGGCTCTGCTACAAAAAATGGCATTGCTGGTTAAGCAGGAAGACTCCTCCCTATAGGATCAACGTTCCAGACTAGTGCTAAGGTCAATAGCATAGCCCAAAGCGCAGAGATTGACTCGTATATCCTAATCAAATTCAAACCTAGTTTACAGTTTATATAAATCAATTTAAGATGCTATATTTTGTCTTGGTTGTTCATAGCAATTTTGGTCCTCCTTTTCAAATAGTTGATGATTCTGTGTTTCGCTGCATTTTGACTGAAAACAAAATATTTATTTTTGGGTTTAGTATCTGTAATGCATTAGGATCCTTTAAGGAAGAGGTTTAAGTTTTATAATGTGATTTACTTCTACTTGGCTCTGTTTTGCTGAATCCCTATGTCTTTAGCATTTACCAACATTAGCAACCGTACAAAAAGGTTTGGTTTTGTGTGTTTTTTCTGTTGTGTGTTTTTTTGTGGGGTTGGGGGGGGGGTTGTTTGTTTGGTTTTTTTAAATATACTCCAGGCTATTTCTCAAGTGATGTACTCTAAGTCCCAAGAATTAGCCTTAAGTCACAGAATCTTTCACAGAATCTTTCTATCCACAAATACTTACTATTAATACATTATTGATAATTCACATACTCAGAACTATTTTCCATGAAAAGAAGGCCAAGACAACTCAGCTTCTCATGCCTGCCCCTTCCAATACAAATTAGTGTTTCCTTTTCTTTCCAAGTCTTACATTAATGCATTAACTATTGTTAAGTTATTGTGAATATTTACAAATTTCATTCTTCCAAGAAAACAGTAAACAAAGTCAATATATAGATACATTTGCTTTCTCATATTTACCTTGTAGTAGGTCCTCAGGTGGAGAAACTCCCAGCAAATAATGAAAAAATAAAGCAGCACAACGAAGGTATGGCATGATGCCTTTTTTAACACAATCCCACACAAGCCAGCCTGGAACATCCTGACTAAAGCATCTGTAATATACAAATGAGAAATAGCTGCAGTAGTTCACAGTGCAAATCCTTCTAGCACTTTCACATTTTGGCTAGCATTGGTAGAATGGCAGCTGTGGAGAAGCAATACTGATGTACCCCAAATTCTGTGAAACACAGCCACCAGCACTTAACTTCCAACTTGCCCTTTGCCTAAGGAATGAGTACTGAGTTTACTTAGAACACTCACATTAAGCCTTCAAATTACCTCAACTTACATTTTTCAGAATTATAAAAAAATAAATAGCCAATAGACAGCTGTCCATATCTAGGTAACTCAAGATAACCTGATTTAAACTGTGCAATATAGCATCACCCATATAGCAATTGATTCTTGCACTGGTTGGGTTTTATTACCGAAAGCCAGCAACTTTTTTTGAAATGGTGAAAGTTTTTCATTCAGTTTGTGTTTTGAATGCAATTCAAAAATGAGAAAGAAACAAACATAAATACTCTTCAGGAACAAGAAAACCAACAGAATTAAAAAATTAATACCTCATAATTCATTATAGAAGTCACAACAGTAACACTCAGATTGTTTAAAATAAAGCTATGTTAATTCCATTTTTGACAAAAAATACTGAAGGGATACTCACCTCAGTAGTTTTCTTGTAGTTTGTGTGATATGAGCATTTAGTCTAAATTTCATAGTAAATTTAACTTACTTACAGTGCACTCGTTTTCTAAAAATTTTAAACTTAGTTAAATTCACATTTATGTGAACATGATGTTCACACAAATGTTGACCAGGACCTGCTGAGAAACAACCTGTAAAGCTGTATTGTAACATCATAGACCTTTGCAAAATTATTATGCAGATTGTGCTGTTGAAGCACAGATAGGTCTGAGTTAGAAGATGACAATGCATAAACAGAAATTAAAACACTAAAAGTTTCCGAGCTGGGTTGCTTAAACTTTGGCATTTAATTCTGTACCTAGGCATCTCAGTACAGTGACCTAATATTTCAAAATGCACAGCCCCTACAATTTTAAGCTCATGCTTCAGAAAAATTACTCCTGTTATTGAAATACCAAATTTTAAATATTTAGAAATTTATACTTAGAACTTTTAGACAAGTGGGTAGTATTGAGAAACGTATATTTGCAACTAGCGTTGGTGAAAATAAATCAATGCAGAATTTGTAGAGGGTGCATCCGTATTTTCTAGTTTATTTCACACACAGATACTGAAGCACTAAAAAAAGTCTATAGCTATACCTAGCAGAGAAAAACACTAAAAAGATGGGCACTAATGCTCAAACAAATAAGCAACTGTGTTTAGCTTTACACTTCTCTCCCTTTTATAGTAGAACCATTTCCTTCTTTCTGGCTTCCATCTATAATTGAGAGATCTAAAAAAAAAAACAACAAGGCAAAGAAAAAATAACTACTATAATTAGTGGTTGTATTTCTCTCCAGAATGGATATAGGTATCTTCTTCATCCTTGGACTAAGAATTTACTCTGTTATCCACAAAAAGTAGCTATTTAAACTAAAAGTGTTCCTTTCACCACTTTCCTTTTTTTCAGTGTTCAGGAGTACTGGAAGAAAGCACAAGCCATTGTGCTAACTCCCCACACAAAATAGGTGATTTTTTTTTTTTCCTGTTTTCTGTGTTGTTCAGGTCAATCCCTGTGGATTGCCACCTTTTGAGGAAAACGTAATGCTATAACTGAACTGCTACTTACCCACTGGTGTACTGGCAAACCTCTCTACAGAAAGACTGTGCAGATCGTGCCTCCTCACTGTTGTCAGATGATCGCGCAGTAGGGGATTCTGCACACAAAAAGATGAATCCCGCTGTAAATGCACTTCATTTGTGACACACTTCTCTTTTTTTACATATACTGAGCTGCTCTTCTTTTTTTAAATTGCATTACAGAAATATTTCCACTTTATTTGCTTCATTCGTTTCTATTCGCTGTTTTTAACTTGACAAATGTTCTCCTAAAACTGCATGCTATAAAGAAGAATCAGGATTACTGCCTCATTGCTCATCCTTACGTAAAAACTGCTTCCTTCCCTTGAACTTTTGAAGTTGTTCTCCTACACAGATTAAGCTACAAGAATTTTTATTTTTTTATTTTTTTATTTTTTTAAATTCCCATCATGCTGAAGAGAAAGGAAAGCAGTAGCTAAGAAGCCTCTAGGTTACTGACAGTTTTTAACAGTAGTATGAAATACAGAGAAAAGTGAAAGTCTCTCCTATCAGTTTATAGGATTCCGTATTTTGGCTCTGGGAATTTACTAGGTTGAAGGGTAAAGAAAAGCTTATTTCCGAAATCTATATGAACTATCCCTGTACAGCTCAGAGTGCTGCTGCTGGGCAGAGCTTTGCTTCTCCTACAGGGAGTGAAGAGGGGAATGTTACCACTCCGGAATGACTGACTTAAGCAAGTACTGATATATCAATAACTATTTTGTTCTCTTAGGCTATGCACACAGAAGTAATATAATAAAATGCTCTGAAAATGATCTATTGCTATTTATTTTTTACCAGAAAACAGTTATTACTTCCGTGCACTAACTGTCATTTACTATGAGGAAGTTTATACCTGAAAGAGACTAATACAGTCCATCCATTATTTTTAAGAAATTGTATTAAAACGCTGGAATAATCCAACCCAAATACACTACCTGTTGCTGAAGAGACAACGATTTGTGTTATGTGTGCCATTGTTGTCAGATGGAAGAGGTAGAGGTGGTTATAGGCTGAACTGATTGATGAAGGTTGCAAGTCTACAGCATCCTCCCAGTATAAAGACGGAAAGGATAATACAACTCCCACCTACAGTGAAAGGGAAGGAGCAAATATGAAAGTAACATAAATTTGGCAATAGCTACATGGGTAACAGAAATTATATTCTCACTATACATTTCTATTTCGTTTCTTTAGTCAATTTAAATATGTTCATTTATCTTGCTAGTTTTAATACAAAAAGTGTAGCAAAAACTCATTTGAAAATATTAACCATTTGTGCCCCTCTAGTATATAGGAAACTCAGATATAGTTTCATTGTAATTGCCAGTTTAGAAATACATCAGGAAAGCTTGTCCAATTCCTGGAACGCTTAATTTCTGGTTTTTGACATAAGACAAAGAACACTGGAAAAAAGTGAGAAGTGAGATCAAGCATTGGTTAGAAAGGCAACCAGGGCAAAACAAGTATTATTTTTGTGGGTTTGGGTTTTTGTTTGGTTTGGTTTTGTTGGCTTTTTCGTTGTATGGTTTTGGTTTTTTGTTCGTTTGTTTATATTTTTTCCTAATAGTACAAGAAACTACAACACAGATTTGTATTCAGAACAGAAAGAAGAGGCTAAGAAGAGTACAGAAGGTAACGAGAGTGAATGTGAAGGAATCAGAAGGTATGAGAGGCCTACTGAGACAAAGAGAAAGTGAGGGAAACAAGCTGAGTGGGCGCATTTCTCAGGGCTTTTTTTTGTAGTTTGATAGCAATGGAGGTGGTAAAAAGATGATTGAGATTGCAAGCATGAAATGTAATAACAGGGAGACCACAAAAACTTGAAAGCTAGAAGAACAGCAGAACTAAAAGTAAACACTCCTATATAGCAGCCATATGTAACCATTTGCTTGTATGCAGTGCTTATGTATAATGATTTGACTCACGCAAGTGAACAGATAACACAGGACTACCTACAGGGTAAAGTACACAAAAATCCATGCTAAAAAAAAAGTATTAATATGAAGAATAAAATGAACCTGCTTACCAAAATGTGGAACATATCTACTTCTAAAAGGGATGGAGTGTCCTCCACTTTAAAATTTGGTAGAAGAACTACAAAATAAAGATAACAATTATGCATTTGATATCTATTTTCTTCTTTTGGATTGAACTGCAATATCAGAATCTGACTTTAGAGGCTCTATCATTTCTGTGTTTTCATCAAAAAGATGTCCAAGTCTCTGAACTAAGGAAGTGGCTATTTCATTAACTGCTTATCACTTATTTAATTGATTGAGCATCTGTTTAGCTATTTCCACATGCCCAACCAGCTCACAATTAATGACTGTATCTTCAAAATTCTGTGATAAAAATCTTTTATTTCTCCAGCTCTAATAAAGCACACACAGTGTTAAGGGTGAAGTCTACAAATGTACTTAGGCAGTGCAACACTAGATGCCTCACAGCCTAGCCCAATACAACAGTCTGTACAACAGTAAGAATTCTATCAAACAGAATGCAAGCCAAAGAGTGGGATTCACAAAGGCCACCACGCCAACCTAATCAGTAAGAAAAATGGAGGATAGCTATGTGTCTCAAACTAGCTCTTGCTGAGACCAAAATATCTTGAACTAGGCTGCAAGCAGCCTTTTGAAAGTATCAAAAAGATGAAGTCTCACAATTAGGAGAGGAATACCTGTTTTATGGCTTTATCCACCTGATTAGCACAGAATTTGCATATTTTTTAACATTACCAGAAATAGATCATTAGCCATCTGTAAATATTCCAGATCTGAGGATCTCCAGGCCCAGGCAATCTGGGATACAGGATTTTTTGGGGGCTTCAGTGATACAAGGCTGGGTTAACAGAATTACCGATTACTTAAGTTCAAGCAATACTCCACAATTTCAGGTAACATCAGAGAAACTGAAGTTAGCACTGTTGTCAGTAGTCTAACCTTTGCTTCTATGCTGAATTAACGCGTGTGCCATTTTGCAACAGAAACTTCTGCAACATGAATGGTAGTAAAGAAAAGGAATACAATACCTCCTAGGAGACGAATCAGATGTTTCTGAATCAGGATCTGTGGTGATGTTGTTCTCTGAGCAGCTGCAAACTGCACTAATGCTTTAAGGCCACTGTGCTAGAGCGCAAGAGAAAATGGTTGGATAGGAAAAAAGGAAGGATATAATAGTGAAATAAAGTTGTAAAAACACATTTACTTCTACAAACAGAAAACACATTGGTAAGTGAATTTAATATGAACTTCCATGTATAAGTAGAAACATTATTCTTCCAAAATGCTCTTTATGTTATCAATCTAAACATTGAGAGCTATCCTCAACAGAGGATGATCTTGATGTTAGCAGTTTCAAAAGTAAGTTTTTTTATATAGGTGTGCATATAAAAACTTTTCTGTTTCAAATGTATTGCATATCTTACTTGCCCATACCTGTCTATTTTGTAGAGATCCAAATAAAGGCTTGGCCTCTGTTTCCAAGAGGTTTTCTTAAAATTAAACACAGAAAAAATTAAGTTGTTCTACAGGAACTAACATAACATTTCTGCTACAATACACTCAGTCCTATATTAATTTATTCTTAGTATACGTACTTCTTTTTAAAGCTCAACTTTATTCCGATAAGAGAATTCTCTTGGGGAAAAAAAAGAAAAAAAACCTCTATCTTAAATGGTACTGAATGTTTCCCAGATAAATGGTTGTTAACAAGCTTTTTAAAAACATTTGATTTTTCAGACCTTGCTAACTAGGGATTTAAAGGAACACTGTTTCACATGAATGATGAAAAGATATTCTATGGATTTAGTTGTATTTTCAGCTACCCTTACACAATGCTCAAAAACATCAAGGTAAGTTTACAGGGATGCTCTACAGCCATCTTACCCTCAGATTTGCACTACTGCATTTGACTGTAGTTTAACGAAAATATTTTGAAAATCAAATTCTTAAGCTGGAATATAATTCAGCTTTCCTCCCTAACTGCATTGGTTCTGAAGGGATACAGAAAATAAGTCAATAAAAGTAAGAAACCAAAGTAACTCAGTTGAGTAAAAAGGTATCAATTCAAATGTTTTTGTACTTTAGTCACTTTTCAGGGATGAATCAGTACACTTAAGATCTTGAATTTTTTTTTGTTGTTTTCATTGGGGTTTTTTTGGTTGGAAGTTTTGGGTTGGTTTTTTTTTTTTAATCATCTCTAACAAAAAATGAAAGTTTTTTAACTTAGTACTCCCATACATCAGTTTAACACACAACATGAGGAGTTGCTGAGGAAACATGGGAAAAATCAGATTTGTATTTTTAAGTGTCTGGTTTTAGGCAATAAAAGCAATTCACATTCCTTGGGTCAATGCTGCTTTGAACGTCCTCTACAGACTCCCCTACCAGAGGTAGCTACAGTTCCTTGTCTACGCAGCTTGGCTACATGCTTGTTAAATTGTTTTAATAATGCACCCTATGACTATATTCAAAACCAGCATACTAGGCAGTTTTGCTTTACAACTTCATGGAAGCTTGCTCTATTTGTAAACAAAAATGAATCCAAGGAAGCGGTGTGGCCTAGGATAGGTCAGACTGTCACAGTGCTCCCTCTGGTTTTATAAACTTGGTCTAGTAAGGCATCTGAACTTTCTACTTCTGACATATGTCTTCAATATCACATCTGTGGTAACAGTTACTGCATTTATAGACTTAATGGTAAACTCATCCCTGACAGCCACCAAGGTATTTTTTTAGATATCAAATGAAAACAGTCTGCACAGCATTAAGTGCATTAACGTTAATACTGCTAGGTGGCTTCCAGTCCTGTCCCAAACCATCTGAAAACTCTGATAAAATCCAACACTAAAAACATACAATCTGTTGTCGTGACTATTCCTGCCTTATCAGAATATTCCCAATCCTCCTAAAAACCTTTTGAACTTCAATAATCCAGTTGGGTCAAGTCCAGTATAGATTTAAGGCAGACTACCCTTGTACCTCAACAGCTTCTTCAAGAAAAAAAATGGCTTATTTGGCAAATCATATTTATGGATATGCATTCCATATGCATATGGATATCATTCTCAATTCCTTCAGCATGTATTTCAGACTTATCTCTTGCCTCTCTCCTTGCCTGGAAACCACTACAGATTTATCTACAGCTTCATGTTTATTACAAAAAGACCTTTGTGTATATAGTACAGAAATGAAATGAGACTGACTGATAGACAGGTACATTATCCCAAAAAATGCAATCATTTTAATGGTAATGATTTTCCCTTCAAAAAGAGATCCATGCCAGAGAATGTTTGGGGTTTTGTTTGTTTCTTTTTTTTTAATCCTACCAGCTATCTGCTAGCAATTTCAGAATACAAAAGACCATATTTCTTCTACAAATTCCACAAAAATTACAATTAGTAAAATGGAACACGATCACTCCCTGCTCTCTCAGATTAAACTCATCAATGTTAGCATTCCAGACTATTTTATAAACTACCATCTAACAAAAACATCCTATTATTTATATTGGATTATAGATTATCATTCTATTATTACATACGTAATTACATGTATATACATTTTTGTACTATTACATATTGCTCTTATTTATGTAGAACTATGATTATTATTTACACAATCAGATTGTATAAAACTATACAATCAAACAACTGTAAGATTTTCAAGTCATGAGAAGGAATAAACCCAAGTAATGCTTTACCTATACACTGGATGGTAAAAGCACACGTGCTCCAGGTCATCATAGGAATTCGGTAATCAGTTTCATTTGGAGCAACTTTTAGCCCAACTCTATAAATGGTGGTGGCAAAGAGAATAAGCATCTCCTTGATACTGCTTGAATATTTGGCTCTGCAAAAGCAAGCCAAGATAATTTCAGTATGAATTATTAATAGTGCTTATGACTTACAGGTCAATCAATCACTAACAAAGTCTAAGGTATTTATGCGAGAATTCTTGAATAGAAAGACCCTTTCTCTGTACAGAGAAGAAAAAAAAATTACTAGTTTCCAGTAGTAAACGAGTACCATGACATAACAGGTTCTACAAATTGAAAGATTAAAAGCTGCCAGGCTGGAAGGAGTCTCTTTCTGTATACAGTATTATAATTCGCATTTAAAAAATGCTAACATTTAAATCAAAGTAAAATACAATGAAAAAAACCCCAACAAGTGCAAGTAAGTAAGTCTAATTATAAGTGCTGGAGTGAAAATATATCCCATCTCATAAGGTACCAGAAATGGAAAGAAATAAATTTAAAATGTGTTTTAAAACACATTTTTTAGCCTTTAAGCTCCTTTCAACTGACATTGGGTTAGATTATGTAAATGCACCTTTATGCAGAAAAGTGCCTAGGCAGAAACAGGTACTGTTGTAATGGCTTGTGATTTTTCAAAGTCACACACAGAACTGTGTAACAGAAATACATGACATTCAAATAATTCTTAAAATCTCTACAGACAAAACAACTGTACCATGAACTTTGGGGTTTAGCCACGTTCATACCTAAACATCACATTGTTTAAGTGCAAACTATAGAATCTTCCCCATGAAGATCAGTTATCAAGAAAGAATTTGATTCAACTGTCTGACGACATTTTTACAAATAGCAGATATGTAGAAGTACTTTGCATAACTATGATGTCAGTCAGAAGCAGCAGAAGTAGAGTACTTATAGTGTGATCTAAAAAGAAGACAGACAGCTGAGTATACTTGAAAAGTATCTATCCATCCATTCGCTTTTAGTGGGTGAGCACTTTTGCCCACTGGAATAAAAACTGACAACACAGCCCTAACCCTTTGAGTAATCTGTATTACATTATTGCATCCAAAACCAAGTGAAGTCTATCCCTGAAACAGACATATAGCAGGAAAATTAAGGCAGATAGACATTAAATAACTTGCCCTAGAGGCACAGGAAGTGACCCAAATCACTGGAATTGTGGATTAGAAGATTCCAGACTCCTAGCTTTATATCAGGAACATAAGAAGTACCAGACTGGATTTGACCAAGAGGCCCATCTAGCTCTATAGAGATCTGATATTCAGTGAATGCTTAAGGAAAAGTGCAAGTAAGCTCGTATCCGTATCAAACAAATCATACACCTTTCCTTCAGTACAAATCCTGAAGTGTACCTAGGTTATTTTAGGGACAATTAACATAATGCAGAGAGCACTTCCAGTAACACTTACGAGGACTGAACTCCAAAACTAAGGATAGAATGGAATTCCAAAGCAGAGTTCCCCATTCCCTTATTGGCGAAAGCTGGAAGATTTTGTTTCTCTCCTTCCAGAAAAAAAATAAAACAAAACAAAACAGATCCACATTAAAAAACAAAGAAGTTGTTACAGATTTACAGCTGTGTAACAGAAGTGAGACTTCTTTTTATCTGAAACTGGTTTGAAAATAATTGTAAACACACCTCACCAGTCACACTCTTCTAACCCTCCTCCTTAAGCAACATCTTCTTCTACTTCCAGAAATATGAGGATTAAAAATAGTGCTTTGGTGGTGAGGAAAAAAGAACTTTCCTGCATTATAAGAGTGCAAGGAATATGCTCATTCTCTGTACCTTCTGTTTTCTAAACACTCATACATGTTTTTATTTTGGCCCTTTTAATTTAATTTTTCTCTTTTTTACTACATCACAGTCAATAGAAGTGTTTCATTAACTCTGAGTGTTAGTTGGTGGCTATCCTCTCCTAGTGTACATCATTTTCTTCTACATGGAAGATGGAAAGAATTTAACACAAACCAGAAAATTGGTGAGGGCACTGTGAAATCAAGACATCAGCTCAGAAAGGGCTGACTTCATCCCCAGCTTGATTTGATACTGTCTTGATTGATTTGATACTGTCTTGATTGATAGCTAAATGTATTCCTTACTTGAAGTTTTCTGTTGGTATTAGTTAAAACATGTACTGACAGATTAGATATCCCACTGAATAGCTTCAAAATTAAGGTAACAAACCTTTAGCATTTTTCACACTGTAGCCCGATATCCTGACTATGATAATCTCCAGCCACCTAGCCAGGGACAGAATTTGAGCTACTGCCTCTGCATCCTCACTGAAAACAGAAATAGAAAGTAGGTTTTATTTTATCAAAGAATCACCTTATCTTTAAAAACAGAGGACATATTTAGATCAAAACACATTAACTCAGTATTTGCACAGTTTTGGTGGCTTTGAAAATGCCTTTCTTTAAAAAAAAAAAAAAAAAATTTGCCAAAAGCAGTATGTTTGGCTGAATAGCTCATACAAGGAGATATGCAGTCTTTTATACACATTAGTAAGGTCTGCACAAGTTTTCCTTCCAAAAGTTTGAAAAGTCAACTAGCCCCAAAGTAATTTTTTCCTTTTTTTTTTTTTTTTTTTTTTAAATTAAAGGCTATGCAATCTGGCAATTCACCTGTTTATTTTTTGAGCCTGCAATGGAACAATAGGAATCACAGTATTGCACAGAGATTTGCAAAGTGGACAAAGATACTCTCCATTCTCCAAGTCAAAAATCTGTTCAACATGCAGACGTTGCCGGAAGTTCAGCTGCATGGCTTCGAAGTACCTACAACATTGAAAAGGAAATTACTAGAAAGTAGAATGGCTCAAATGTGACAGGAAAACAAATGTTCAAGTAATTAAAAGTGTTATTATCTAGCAAATATCTATCCAAGTCAACAAACAAGTCTTTTCCTTTGATTTATAACTCTCACACACTTGGATGTGAAAATAAAATAAAACCTTTGGGCACATAGATGAACTCATGCAAAAGTGACAGCAACTTTTCCTTGCTTTTAAGATCCTTTTAAATTTCATTAACATTTTTACAGACAAGCAGATCTTAAATTTTTTACTCTTCTCTCACAAGATCTTCAACACAATGAAACACTGTATCTAATATCTGTCATGCAACTCATTACAGTAAGTTTGAAATAGGGATTGTACATATTTTTATTTAAATTTATGAAAAACCACCAGTAACATTTAATGAATAAATAATCAACTATTCACGTCAATGACTGAGTCTCATAACTAGACAATGAAACTGTAGCCTTCTTTTAACAGAAAGAGAGGATAATTTATATTACAATATTGCACTTGAGTTATTTTAAACTCAAAAGGAAACTAAGAAATAACTATGATCTTTTTACAGGTTTCATTATAATCTTGCCCCTTCAGTGGATGCAGTAAGCCTTCAAATTTCATTAATGTCTCAGGGGTATTATTAGGAGCAAAAAAATCCAATATTCAAATCTTCTTGCCTGGATACGAGCAACTAAATTCAGTACTAATGTTCAGGCTAGGCATATAGGATCTTAAAGACAGATATGAAACTATCTAACTTCTGCACTAAGGTAATAACTGCCTTTTTTTTTTTTGCTTTAAATCATACATCTTAAGGGAAAAAATGAAATCCCATTTATGTAATAAGATAAAGAGTGTGCGTGGAGGCATCTGTGGAAGTTCTCATGATTACAGAATACTTAGGAAAGTATTTGATTACAATCAACAAACACATACATTTATTTTCCCACATTCAAACTATGTTTTTGCAAGCAACTTCTCTTCCTCATATATGGCAAATACCAAGATATTCCATTCATTTGAACTTGCACTGTTTTAGAGAGTATTTTGCAGTATTTTTAGGCTGCACAGATACTCTAGAAAGGTGTGGCAGGCATCGTTTGGAGGAGTATTAGTAAGTTAGCATGTCTGTTATGTAACAAATAAAAGACTATACTCAAACCTTCTGTGCCATTCCGTATGAGAAGAGCCTGTTGTCCATTTTAATCCCATTTACCCATACAGCAAGTCATCTTTTCTTAAAAAGAGCAACGGAACTGAGCTCCAATGTTGCACTACTTAGATCTACGCAGATGCAGATGGATCTGCCAAGAGCAGATGTATTATACTCAAGGAACACACTTCTGTATCATTTTAACTTTGCGCACCTATTTATTCTATACTGATGTTTTATTGTAAAAAAAAAACCAAAACCAAAACCCACACATAGAAGAGTAAATGATAAGCGCTATAAGTTTAATCAGATTTTTACAGTAAAATGGCACAAGTGCAAAAAGCAAACCTCAAGCAATTTTTTGTATCATACAACAATATAAAGTAGCTTGCAATTGCATGAGTCAACTCTATTTATCTGTTGATAATAGTTCAGTGGGATTATTTCTATTATTACTTCACACTATTTATCTTGTCTAGATTTGCCAAACCTACGTGGAGTCAAATGCAGAGATCATTAGCTTTTCCCTCTGTAACCCTACAAATGTAGCTGCAACGAGGATGACTATATTCTGCGAACTACATAACTTGGTCTTTTAATATTTCAGGTTGCATTCTAAACCAACACACTTGCTTTAAATTGTGGGTTCCCCCAAACAATAGAAATCTAGTAAAGTTTTTAAGCACTGTATCAATTCTTCCCTCTTACTTTTTATTAAGAGTTTGTTCACCAATAGGGGAGGGCTGGGGAGTGGGGAAGAAATAATGCTAGATTTAACCATTCATCATATTCTATTCTAAATGCCAGATTCTCATCTAAAGACTGAAAGGATGAAGTTGACTTATTCCAGTAAATACTGACCTGGTGACAGACTTTCAGAGTTGAAGTACTGTTACTATATAACGCTCACCTGGAAGATTCCTACTGGTTCTCATTGGATTGCTAAAAATAAACCTACTAGATGCGGTTTCTTATTCTTGACGAATTTTACCCCACTGGTTTTATTTGCATAAATTACTAACTCCTTAGAGATTCTTCTTTGGGTCATAGAAGGCACTAAGAACTTTTGATCATGATTTTCTTAATCAGGTCAAAACTTCTCTTGTGCCATATTTCATTTTTAGACGAGTACAAATAGCTTTGACTCCTTAATTATACATCTACTTACTGTACTGTGTTTTCAGCGTGCATTTAGATGTTTTGGAAAACAGGATTAAGAAAAAAAAACACATTAAAAGGCTGCAAAGACACATCCTTACTTCTGCCAGCAGGCTGCATGCATCACATGACCACAGCTTCCTGTGTGGGTCCCACAAGGTAAGTCAGGGTGCATGAAGAGAGGATCTAGTGTATCTAGAAAGACACAGCAGAAAGAAATTATTGACAGAACAATAACATCACTGCACATCAGTATGAACAGAAATGAACAACAGTATACACAGAACACAAGCCTTCAGATTTTATTTTCCCACAGCTCACATAGTCACGCTCAAATAGCCTTTGGTTAGCTTTTCCAGACCAGTACGCCAGCAAAGTAATCACAAGACAGAGTTCACTTAAACTACTGAAGGCTTTCCACTAATTATGAGGAAAAAGACCATAAAATCCAAAACCAATAGTAAATTGGTTAAGGAAAAAAAAAAAAAAAAAAAAAGGGTTTTAAGGGTTTTTTGAGTACTGGAATAGCTCTGTGGTTGGATTTGCCATCATTGAAGTTTTTAATGTATTTCTTATTGTATTTTTAAATGAAAGAAAATGAAACTATTAAGGACAAGAAAGATGAGGCATTTCTCCAACTAATCCTGTATACTTCCCCATCTTGCATAACTCTTACGAGCAAAAACATTATGAGAATGTAATGGTGTGTTTGTGCTGCATATGCACTCAAAGTCAGATTCCATTTTCCCCTTAGAGATATCTGAATAATACTGAACTGAACAAGCGCAGTTCTCCAAACTTCATCTGGTGGACTGTTTATGATTTTGAACAGATATATCTGAATTTGACAAAATGAAAAAAAAAAAACAAAACAAAACCACAAAACAAAAAAACTAGCACCCAAATTGCACTGAAAATATAACTGTATTTGAAAAAGCTGAAGCTGCTCTAAATCAAATGGAGACTGAAATAAAAAAAGTGAACTTTGGTATAATGCTAATTTGCCACTATCTGCACTTCTGCTGTGGGAACAAGCATTTTTCCACTTATTTAGATCTTCAAAGCAAAAAAGCTATTATTACAGACCTACTTCGAAATGATAAGCTGCAGAAGACCAGGCAATAAAGAGTAAGTGCTATAAATAATATCCAGAAGTGGCTTTAGGAAAAGGAACCTAATTCCCTTCTTTTTACAATTATTTCAATAGCCCAACATGTCACTTCAGAAAGCTTACAAGTGTATCTGACTACAAAAGTATAGGATTTAATTTGTACTTCAGAGTACCACAGAAGAGAGCAAAAAAAAAAAAAATAAAAATGGATGCAATTAATACATGGCCTAGATAAAAATTCTATACAGCTGGCTTAAAATTGTCATTATCACAAGTTCACTGTTAAAAAGAAAAATGGATCAAACAGGATTCTGTAGGAGTCTGTCCTGAGTCTACAACTGTTCAGTATTTGTTAACGACCCAGAAGAGGAAACACAAAACATCTTATTAAGTGAAATAACTTGGTAAAGGTTTGCAAGCATGATAGAGAGAGAATAGGGTAATACCCTGGAGAAATAAGAAACAATGCTGAACTTCCCTTTGCTTTAGAATTCTATTTGATAACATTCAAGAGTGTACTTCTAAACTAAAGCAGGAATAATGAACTGCACAAACACAGAGTTTAAAGCTATTTCCTAGACAGTAGCGTCATCAAAAAAATAGGCCACAGGGTTCATTTTGCTTTATGAGCTGTCATGGATCAACAATACCCTGTTATAAAATAGAAAAAAACCACGTATTTGAAAATAAGCAGGAATTTAAACTGCAAGTTGTAACATCCTCGCCATGCAAAGGCAACGAACTAGAAAACACCTTGAGAGCACTCACAGACCTCCAATTTTATTATCTTTCAACACTGCATCCTTATTCCTTATATATTAGTTAGTTTGAATAAGCAGGATTTGAAAAAATTATTGGCTCACCTTTATAATAAGACATAGATACACAGAGAATGTATATTGATTGATAAATATTTAATAGATGACAGCTATTTAAATTTTTATCTGTGTTAAAATAAATATAATTCCATTTACAGGGAAAAAATTATCACTTTTAATAATTATTTAGTATTATATTGTGCCTGAATCAAACTAGCAGTTTTATGATGAGATGCATATCCACCCCGAGGTGATTTCACCTAAACAACATTCGCCTAGGCTGTGTATCAAGTAGGACAGAGCCAAAAAAGTCTAATAAACATGAGAATAAATTAGCTTACCTTCTCCTTACCCATAAAACCAGTTATCCTGGTCAAAGAATCAGGGTGGCTTCCTAAGTTCCTTTCTTGACAAATCCATTTTTGACATTCCTTACTGCTTCATTCTCTGTCTTTATTTTTTATATTGCCTTCTAGACTAATAATAATTACTATTATCCAACATAATTCTGGGCATCCAGGCTGGATGGAATACTCAAATTTTTAGTACTTTCTCATTTAGTTTCTGGTTTTCGATTTGTTTGGTTTTTGGTTTGGGTTGTTGTTTTTTTTTGACAAACACTTGTTTGCCCTTCTTAGCCTTGAGATCTCAATTATTTTCTACGCATTTTAAAAAATAATTAAAGATTATACTGAAGACAATGGTTCTGATACTTCTTTCAATAGTACTTTAATAATTGCCAAGGTGAATACACTGAAGTTATCTAGATATTGCTTCAACTTTTCTTATCCTATTCTGGACTGGTTTTCTCTCTTGTTAAAATTAACAGTCATCAAGCATCTGATCTTGAATTATTATTAATTTTCTTTCTCAAAGAGAACGAAAAAGACAGTGAGTACTTTTTTTCCTCCCTTTTCTTTCTATTTATTTTCTTTCAGTCCCTTAAGTAACTGACCAAAATCTTTCTCACATTTAATCAACTGTTACAAAAAAAATTCTGGTTGGTCTTCGTGTTTTCTGCTACCAATATGCTATTATGCAACTCTAACTCTTGCACTTGTATTATTCTCTTGTATTAATTTTTTTTCATTCATCAGATGATATCATATGATCCTTGCTTATACTTTTCTATTTTTTTTATGTTGCTGTTTTTAGTACTTCCTGGACATGAAAAAATAATAATAATAATAAAAAATTAAAAACCCCAAACTCGCCTGAGGCTATCATATTGGCCTCCGATAATGTTCATTTATTTCCTCCATACTGGGAAAGTTTGCTGCTGCGCTTGAATAAACAGGAACTGTTAACATTCTTGGATTTCTCCAGAGTGACCACTCCTACCAAATTGCTAAGTTTTATAAAATCTTCTTGTGAGATTAAAGCATTTTCTGACTTCCCAAGGACAAATCAGAATATTCATACACTTCTCATTTTTAAGTTTTAAAGCATGGATTTTAGAACAATTGAAAAATTTTAACTTTCTTCTTATTAAATAGTATAAGCGAGTTAGCAATCTAACTGAATACAGAATTTAACTAGGTTCAAAGGGTCTGAGTTCTAGCTACAAGACTGCTTGTAGTCTAAAAGAAGAAAAATTGCATACCCCCTGAGATTTCAAGAACTCTGCTCCTATTCTGAGTTAAGGCAGTTGATTTCTGGACACAGGCAGATAATACCATGGCAGCACCTTCCAACTTCACTTCCTGCTCCTCCTGACAAAGAATACAGGTCAGAACTTCTTTCTCAGCAACAGATGGACCTCGTTTGGGACCCAAAGCAATTCTGGAGTAATCAATTGCCGAAGACATGCTGTAGGACCATAAGTGACACAGATATAAAATAATCAGATGGCACTTTCAAAACAAACTTATTCTTCCAGGCATCTAAAAACGTCATTCATTGCTAACATCTCTGGTTTTATACCAAAGTGCTTTCCAAACCAAATGATGACCAAACAATGAAGAAACACCTCAATCCTCACTAAAATGCAGTATTCTTTAAAAGTAGAAAGTGGAAGCTAGCTAACATAGAACACAATGAAATGGATTCAGACAGCAGAAAATTCAGGAAGCTGTATTCGATGTAGAATATTTTAATCTTACAGACACATTAAAATTGTTTCCCATTCCTGAAGAAAACATACTGAAAATTAATGCCACTACCTTAATTCAATGCTTTGAGACAGAATAAGCTTCCATATTATTTTTTTTAATATTCCTTATTCTGGAGTTCAACAATGATTTACAGAACACAATTTATTAAAGATTAAAGCACACAAGTTATCTGTACTTTTTTCCCAGTAGATACCGCTATTTTCCTGATTAGTTTTGTGCAGCCCCAATTAGACCAAAATTGTGAGTTGTATTAGGCATAGTATATTGCTGAAGCACCTCTAGAACAGGAGCAATCCATATCAACAAAATTATAAACAAAAAACCCAAACCTCTTCAGTATGAAATTAGATTTTAAAAAATAACAGAAATATCAGTGACTTGAGCTACAAGCATATTTTCTTCACTGCAACTTAACCTTAAGCCATATTGGCTTTCAGTTTCTTTCCAAATTAAATACTTAAATTTTCATATAAGTTTTTCAGTGTTGTCAACCCAGCAGCTATCTAATCACATTTTTTCAAATGTTAAGCAATGTAAGTATCCACCATTTGAAGAAATAATTAATTTTCTTATTGTTTAGCTTATGCTGCTCTACAAAGAGAATCCACTGTTCTTATATTAGCAAACATATGCTAGTTTACTTATAATTCTGTAACAGAAGATGACTTAAAAGTAAATAGAGATGCCAGTTTGCTGACTGGGCTGACACAATCTGTTCCCTGAACATATTTTCAAAATTTTTATGTAGCATAATGAACTTACGTAACAGGTAATGAACTCTTCCCACCAGAACTGTGGATATCTTTTTTCTTACCTTTCTTCCTCCATAACAACATCTTCTTTCCCCTGTGCCTCCAGTGTGTTTTCATACAGGAGCTTATGGGTTTCGATGAAATTCCTCTGCAGTGCAGACATCTGGGCCATGATCTTCTGACGGTGCAACCTAGCTGCTTCTGCCTTTCTCTTCCGCTCAGCCTTCTCTTTATCCTGAGTGCTTTGTGTCTTACAATAAGAGAAAATAAAGAAATCATAGGCAACGGAGAACATAAAAATGAGAAGAAGCTTTCACCAACTATATGCATTCTAATCTTTGGCATCAAATTCCTTAACTGACAACACTTTAATGATTAAAAAAAAAAGTTAACAGTCATCTGAAAAACGTAAAACTACAATTTTAAATGTTGACTAAGTTAATAATAAAAGAGATTTTGAGGGGTCCACAAAAGGTAACTAGTACAATCCCTTGCCCAAAGACAGGACCAATAATATCCAATCCATTTTAATGAGCTGCTTGTCTGTTCTTAAGAAACTTTAGCGAGCTGAACATCACAAGCCTCCTCCAGTGTTTTATTACTCTACTGAGCAAAACCCCTACTGAGTATTCAGTATCTCACTTACAGGAATTTAAGAAAATTTTATCCTGAACTATCTATCAGCGATACAAGAAACAGATTTTTCCTACATTTTTGTGGTGGCATTTTATGCACCTGAGGATTGTATTTTCCCCTATTCTTCTTTATTGTAGACTGGAAAACTATTCTTCTTCCAGTATTTCCTCATCTATCATGTTTTCAAAAACTACAAACAAAGTATTTACATGCTTTGGAAATACAGAATTCAAAAAACACAGGTATACTTAATTAAAACATATAGAACTTAACTCCTCTTATTCAATTACCTAAAGCACAAATTCAACATTATACACACTGCTTCCATCCACAATACCATTACTTTTTGAGGAAATGAAACAACAACAAATTGCTCCACAAGCAGTGGAACTGTAAGAGTCTCATTTCTTACTGACTTTTGCATTTTGTTCCCTTACCTTACCAGATATCATGTGACACGTTTCTCAAAAAAAAAAAAACAAACCCACAGCATATGCTGTGCTAAGTTTAAATCTATGTATACAATGACTAGCCAAGAGATTGTTTGGCAGCCAGCTGTTGCCAAATAGAATGTGCAAGAGCAAACTGGCCTGTCTTTGCACACAGTCTAATGGTAATCAGATTCTTTTCTATTCAACTACCAATTAAAAAAAAACACAACAAACACACAAATAACAACAAAAAAAACAAAACCAAAAAAAAGCAACACACCAAAAAAACACCCTCATGGGACTGCAGTAATCTTTGAAGTCTCCATTTCACTGTATCATTTGACCACTGGATTCAAAAGTTATTTTGAGGGAAGGGGGTAGAGAGTGATACAGAGTCAGAATCATCACCTAAGCCTGATGTCTTTATACAACCAAGGCAAAGCAGAGTAATCTCTTGGTACGTCACATCAATTACAAGACATCATTTTAAGTGGATTTTTTTATTTCTAATTATTGCACAGTGACAACGTAATAGAAATAAAAATCCTAAAGATAAGAAATGGAGAAATGAACACAAATTACTTCCTTGCCACCCTCAGTTGTTGCACTTAACTTGAAAGTACAACCAAAACCATATTAGCTGCTGATAATTCAAAGAAACATGCTTAGCATAAGTTTAATTCATTAAAAATATTAATCTTGGAACGAAAATCCTATTTGTAGGCAATATACCAGAAATTAGTATTTAAAAAAATTATCTTTTTAGGTAACAATCAACTTAGGCATCTTTTTGAAAACAGCCATTCAAAACATTAAATACAAGGCTTCCATTAAACATTTTTTTTTTATTATTACCTCATCACCTTTTGTAGCTTCTGAGCCTGATGTAGCTGCTACTGTTGTCAAACTAGATTTTTCTCTCAATCTTTTCACTGTGTCAAACATCTAGGAATAGAGACTTAGATGTTAAAAATAAAGAGTAATTTGGTTCCTATTACAACACAGACAGGATTAAAGCTCTTGATATTTAGTTTCACATTTTTTTCAGATTTTCATATGGATGAAGTCAACTGCCACACTCCTAAATAAAAATCATCTGAGACCGTATGTGCACTCCTGTGACACTGCTATGTCTGTATCCTAAACCTGACAAGCACCGCTCAGTATGAAGGAAAGTAAAATTCGTCCAAATTTTCCAGTCTTCCAGCATTAATACTGCTAAGCAGCTAAAGCATCTGTACATCAGAAGAATGGACAGAGTGCTCACTTATTTCAAGTAGGTGAGATGTGGATCATCCCATGGAAATAGTCACTAAAATCATGCAAAAACCTACACGTGTGGAATAGAAAGCTTTCCAGCATATGTCCAATCAGTTAAAACTGAACCTTCAATTTTCATTTACTACTTTCTCCAGCTATCTTTACTTTAATAAGCATCTTGAAGTTTTGACAATATTAAATATCTACCATACATATCATTAAAGTACGTTTTCACTTTGCAGTTAGAATTTTAGAAGAAAATCTTCTCAAAAAAATCTTTCAAACCTGCCTCCCTAATGTAGCAGAATAGTCCAGTTTTAGTAGCTGAGGATAGTTTTGGAATCCTACTATAGATTCTTACCCTCTTTTCCAAGAGTACTGTCTTCTATGTTTGCCACCTAAAACAAGAAGCCCAAAATGGAACAGGACAGCAGTACTTCTGCTAAGCAGAAGCAGCAGCCTCCTCCTACTTTACAGGTGTCACAGCTCTAGAAGTTTTTCCCATCTCTTACTGGGTAATGGCAGGGAGCTGGATAGAAAAATTCCACAGGTCAAATGTACAATGTGGCCATTAGTCAGATCCATATGACTCAAGTCTTAATACAAGCAGCCTCTAAAATGCTTTCCCAATTAATAAACTTTTACTTATCATTTGATGTTATTTTGCAACAGAAATATGAGGAATAAAGTTTATGTATAAAATCGCCATTACTGGAATGAGTTATCCAAGTAAAAATCGACCAAATACTTGGAAGTGGCAATAGCAAGTACAATAACTTGTAAGTCTTAACGCAGTATTGAAGAAACCATCTCGTCTGGGGGGAAAAAAAAATGTTCCAACAGATTGAGCTTCTCAAGAAACCACTGCAGCTGTAAACACTCGGTTATATGTAGGACTTATAACATCTTTCATAAAAGTTTTCTAGATTACTACAATCAGATCATACTTATCTCCCTCTTGTGTACCTGCAGTATCCAATTGACTGTGTCCTTCTGTGCCTCTAACTGAGGAACTCTCTTTAACTTTTCCAGAAGCATTAACACATTCACAGCATTCAAGGCTGAGCTTCCCATTCCTTTACAAAGGAAAGAAAAATACAAAAGCATAGGTCTTCAGGGAAAAAGAAGCTCAACATTTTAATATATTTACAACCACGGACGTGCCTTAAAATATTGCTAATTATGTAACACACATATGCGAACACAACCTGTGTAGTTAACTTTGTTTTAATTTCATCTCTTTATTCCAGTTAAATGTAGTATCCTTGGAGATCAATAATTTTCGCTACTTCCAAGAGCAGAAGTACAGACAAATACAGAATTGCCTTTCACTTCAAGGAGGAGTGGTAAAGCTTTTATAGCTTACCTAAATTTGTTAACAGCTCACTGTGCACAAGTTTATTTCCATCACAAAAACTATTATAATTACAGTAATTATTTGCTTCCTCACATCTTGGTAACAGTTCACAGCATTCTAGGTCATTCTCTAACACAAGTAGGCTTTAAAATTGAGATCCTTTTCTTCAATTATATTTCTTTTGCAGCACTTTCCATTTGAAATGAATTCTCACATTTTTACAAGTGAGACAAATACATTTAAAAAAATTTTTTTTTTAAAATCACTTCTCAGTAAGAGTCTTCTTACAAAAATACTGATTATTTTTGCATCCCTTATGTATAAATGGGGGTTTGGTTTGTTTGGTTATGCAAAACTAAAGCTGGCAAAGAAATGTCTAATGTCTCAACTATAATTACTTTTAGTGTATTCCTATAGTTGTCACGAAGGTTTCTAAACTGAAATACATTCAGTGTGATGATAATACTCCTTGCTCAACAATAAAAAAAAATTCAAAATAAAAAAAAGTGAAATGGGAGTATTTTTCAAATTTAGTGACATCTCTTTACACAACATTTTTTTAAAAACTAAATAAAGGCAGTTCAGCAGCTTTATGTGTTTATTTATTTATGTAGGAGGTATTTAAAAGATATGTAGATGTGGTGCTTAGGGACATGGTTTAGTGGTGGAATTCGCAGTGCTAGGTTAACCATTGGACTATATGATCTTAAAGGTCTTTTCTAACCTAAACAGTTCTATGATTCTACAGTTTTATTTCACAATTCTTGTCTCTGTTTCATTTCTCCAGTGACAATTACATTTAGCTTGATAACTGATTTTTATTTATTCATTTATTCTTACAGAGTGAAGCAGAAATTGTAGAAAAGATACAAGATTATTTAGAAAATGTAGATTCCAACTCCCACTCACTACTCTTGAATGTAAGATTAGTAAGTGCTCTGCAGGGATTTGGAAAAGTAAAGAAAAAGAAAAAAAAAAGCACACTTCATAGCTACTAAGCTTTGCTTCTATAATCACTACCATAGTAAAAGTCTTTAACTTGCAGGTAAATCAATAGTTTTACAGCTCAGGAATACAAAAAACCAGAGACAGTTCACTGAAATTCACTGTCACTTTCAAGTAGTTCTGAGTTACTATTTCAATAATATTCATGCGAAGGAAGAACCATTTTCAGTTATCTAACACCAGTATTACTTTTCCATTTCTTTCTCAGGAAGAGAAGCACATCTCTTCAACATATCTGGCAACTGGAAACAGAAGCAGCTAGTCAAAATCTGGTTTCTTGATCATTTAAAAAAAAAAATAAAAAAATTAGTAGGTTTTAGTTCTATAGCAAAAAGTAAATCCTTTCTGACTAAATATCACTGAATACTTTCTTCTAGTTCATTTTTGTCCTTACAAAATGAAGTTAGCTTAATTTACTCTGCTTTTTTAAAGGAAATGAAACATACGTGTTGCTTTGTGATAAAAATCAAAGGTTACTTCTTCTTCTGGAGACTTCTGTAACTGCTGCTTCTCTTCTAGTAATCCTAAAGAAAGCAGATGAAGCACCTAAAAAAAAAAAAAAAGGAGAAAAATAGTAAGTCTCATTCACTGTTAGAGGTCTGGAAAACTGGCATATAAAATAAGGATGTTTAACATAGTTCTGTACTATACACTGATTATACCCTATGATAGAACACAGAAGTGAGAAAATGTGTAGAGATCGTACATGGAAAGTCAAAGAACAATGAACAATATACTTTTCCTGCATATCACTTGCACCAAAATTAATAAACTTGCACACACTTTACATTAGTAACATATGAATCTCGTCATTTTGCTGATAGAAATCTATGAATATTGGTTAATTCTATAATCCAAAGATTAGGAGATAAGGCAAGGCAATTAAATAATCTACGCACTCCAATTAACAAAACTGATTAATTCCACCAGTCTGTAAATTCAGGTCCTAACCCTGTAAATAATTAAAACAAACAAACAAAAACCCCAAACTTCAACGATGTCAGTAATTCCTCTTTCTTAAAGCATAAAGTCACTGTGGTAAAATGAAATGTTTACAAAATAATATAATTTCATGACTCAGGTCCCAAAGACATTTAGATATTTGGAGACTTGGCAGCTTACAACATGAAGTAACTCCAATTTCTTTAAGATGATCAAAGGGTTACTTATTTGCACATGAAGTTTCAAGAATAAGACGAGGTAAGGAGAATTACATATTGAAACAGCTTCAGTGATGAGGTAACACAAGCGGGAAAGCAAAACAGAAAATCGAAGAATATGCCAAATTTAATACTACTGTGTTTCACATTTCTATTTTACAGTGGAGATAAATAATTAGAAATATTTTCTTTGTCAGCAAGATTTGTAAAAACAGGTTTGGGGACAAAAAGTAAATTCTTACCATTCAAAGTTAAAGTTTATCTTTACACATTGTGATCTTATCATAAGCAGTTAACATGGTCAAGACAGGAATGAGCAAAGGAAGGAGATTGAAGCTAACAATACCATTTGGATCATAGCTTCAGTCCACAAGTGCGTTTCCAGTTCTACTGCTCTCTGAAGAATGGTCCGCAGTATGTGCATCATAACGTCACAGTTCAGAATCCTCACCACGTTGCTGAATGCAGGACTGAAGTCTGGAGGAGGAGGTGGAGGCAATGCTAGAAAACGGAGATGTGCAAATATATTAACAAACTGGCATCTCAAAGATTGCAGGCAAAAAGCGGAGAGCACAAACATACTAATTCCAGCAAAAGAACAACTGGACCTTTAAATTAATAAAACCACGCTCAAACACAATTGTTTGCCTAAGTCAGCTTTTATCTTTAGCAAAACTAAGTACTTTTAGTGAGTTCTTATATAAAACACATGCAAACTAAGCTAAACAAACGCAAGTATTTAGTTGTATCTGTAAATGCAAATCTTCAATACTTTGCACTGCCTTATCAGTAATAAACATATAGTGTTCGTGTTTTGCATCTGATAGAAAGTTTTCAAGTAGTTCAGAGTGAACAGTGGATATTCCAGAGTGTGATGTCTCACATTACAGTGTCCAATGCCTAGTACAGCTGGAGCTCTAAATTCTTCCTGCTACTGGAGCACTCTGATCATTTCTAGTTATGTACATTTTCTGAGCTAACACTGAAACTGCGTGATGTGGTGTCTCACCCAGAAGCCACCTGGAATCTTGGCGTCTACTAACAGCACCTCAATTATCCCTATATGGAAGCATTGGCTTAAGACTTCTTTTGCTACCTGCATGCCTATTTTCAGAAAACTTCTGTGAATGCAGGGTCTCTGAAACCATCAATCTTTTTAGACTGAGTGAATTATAAAAAGTTACGGACAAAGACAACACAGCCACATAAAAGCATATGCACAAAGTATTTGCAACAGAATGGGTAGTCTCAGGGGTACACATCAAGATAAACAGTTATTTTCGTATTTTGGAACTGTATTGTCTGATTACATGAATGTGTGTTTCTGTCAGTTACATGTAAATACTTGTATTTTTAAAAAGCTCTACAAAATAAATGTCCCTGTTAAAATTTTAAGTTACTTAAGTGAATGGGGGGGAATATTAAGAAGGTACTACTCAAAATCTGTCAACTGTATAAAATAAACAGTGGAGGAAGAAACCAGAAGTAATCCAAATCCAGCTGTCAATCTTCTAAGTGAGTTACAACTGAAGGAAATTAAATTATTTCAAAGAGAACGTGATTTCTGATTTAACTGTGACACTCCTAAATGACAATGCCAATTTATTCTGTTTCAGTTCCACAGTTTTTCAACTGAAAGGAACCCAAACTTAATAAAATTTACTCAATTAATTTTACCCATCTTAGGTATGCAATGTTGCAGTGCCCGACTGTACACAAAAATCAAAATATGCTTTAGAGTAAGTAGTACAGATTAAAGGTATTCAACTGTAATGGCAATCTAGGAAGAGAAAAATAATTATATCTATTGCAATTCACAAAATCAGGTGACAGTTGATTTTATTAAACTGTTCATTTTACTTCTTTGTTCAGCTTACAAAGTCCTCCTCAAATCAACTCAATTAATACTCATGATTTGAATGAGTAAAAGTAAACTCAAAAGGGAAATAACATTTCATCATCTGGAAAAGTGGCACGGCAAGCTGTAGACAGTCCAAGAGGCTCCTGGAAGGCATGGAAGGTAGCTTTCCTGAGCCAGCTAAAAGACAGCCCTACTAGAGGAGAGGCCATACTGGACCTGATCATCACCAATGTAAGTGAACTCATTGGTGACATCAAGATTGAAGGCAGCCTGGGCTCCAGTGATCACGCACTGGTGGAGTTTGTAGTCCGGAGGGATGTGGGTCAGGCAAAGAGTAAAGTCAGGACCCTGAATTTTAGGAAGGCCAACTACCAGCTCTTCAAGGAGTTAGTTAACAGGACCCCCTGGGAAACTGCCCTCAGGGACAAGGGAGCACAGCAGAGCTGGCAGATTTTCAAGGAAATCTTCTATAGAGCGCAGGAGCTTGCAATCCCCAGGAGAAAGAAATCAGGTAAGCAAGGCAAGAGGTCGGCATGGCTGAGTCAAGATCTACTGGCCAAACTAAAGGCCAAGAAGGAAATGTACAGGCAGTGGAGACAGGGACAGGTATCCTGGGACAAGTATAGAGAGGATGCCCAGTTGTGCAGAGATGTGGTCAGGAAGGCCAAGGCGCGACTGGAGCTGAACTTGGTGAGGGATGTAAAGAATAATAAGAAGGGTTTCTATAGGTATGTCAATCAGAAGAGGAAAGTCAAAGAAAATGTACCCCCTCTCATGAGCAGGGCAGGGGAG